CCGGAGTGTAGTAAAACTGGCCCTTAGCAATTGAGAGTGAGATTTTGCAACAGATATACCAATATAACTCAATTGGTTGACAGTGGTGGGAATGGGTAAGAGCTCACTTTTTATCAAGGTTAAGTTTATAGCCCGAGAATCTACCAAATTCTTTCAGAGTGTTGAAGATATAGCCTACGAATCAGATAAGAGAGGATACAGAAGAGATCAGATACAAAGAGAAGGACATTGTCTGCATACAGTGAGATTTCGCATTCCTGTTTCCCTCTAAAAGTCCCTAAGTCGGCACTTGCCTGGGGCTCCTAACAATGCAAAAAACAATGGAGAGAGTGGGCACCCCTGTCTTGTCCCACACTGAAAAGGAAAAGTGTGTGTCATTTATTCTAATTGAGGCCAAAGGGGAGGTATTTAACGGTCTGAACCTGGAAATAAAAGCTCCACTAAAACCAAACTGCAAGAGAACATACGGCTCTCTCAGCCTCCAAGGACAACTAAAGGTCATTTTGACATTACAGGCCTCTAGAGGGTCAAAATTTGAGAACCTGCCGCTTGTGGAGGCTGATAAGAAAAAAAAGTCGGTGAGGAAAGCAGACAGAAAGAAAGCAGAGAGGAGAATGAGGAGCCTATCAAATGAACCTAACAGTGTAACTGAAACGTAATCAGCCACTGAAGACACAGGAGAAAGTGAGTGTCCACTGCCAGGTTGAGTCACTCAGTCATTCATACATTTACATCAATCCTACCTGGACGAACCCACTAACAAGCATGGGTGATGTCGCCATTGATAAATTCAGTGTTTGGTGACCTAGACTCTAGTCTGATTTAAAAACCAGTTAGTGTAGGAATGAAATAGATGGTATCAGATGACAGCAGGCATATTGAGTGACACATTTACATGAGACAGAGACCAGCAGACTGGCAGTCGACTGAGCTGTCAGACATTCCCTCAGGGAAAATGTCTCACCTAAAGATGATAATATAAAAGTTTGAATCAGTTTTTGCTGGAGGTAGACTCTCAGGTATTTACTGTGGTGGTGCTGCTGCAGCAATGTAAAACATACTGAATGCTAATACTACATTTATTAAATCCAGATATGTAGAGAAAAGTGAAACAATGTTTTTTTTCCCTATCAGGGTTACCTGACCTTGGAAATTTCAGGGATACACTTATCCTTTGTATCAATCTACTTAAACATTAAACGTATTCCCTCACTGATGCTTGTGATGGTCAAGTCCTGTTGGATAAATGTTTCAATTGCTTTCAGTGGTTACACCTCAACAGAGAGTTCCACTGAAACCCAGTATTAAATGAGCCCCAGAGCTAAATTTGCAAAGACTGCAGTATTGATAAGCTCCCACGTTATCAGTACTTTTATCTGTACTTTTTAGGGCTGACCCCCTCCACATACAAACACAACCACACACACTGGGAATCATTGGGAACACCCTGTTAATTAATTTAGGAGTTATAATCTGGATAGTACGACTAAGGTGGCATCAGTTCTTTCACAATAGCAAGGTAGACAAGTCTACAAGGAGACAGGCATTAAAATTATTAGAGCAGCTGATGATGTTGCCAAGCAATGGTAAGCATTCTGGCTCTTGAAGCTAACAGCCCTGAAATCTTTACCACCAAACCCACCAGACTGTTTAAAATAAACAGTAATTTTACCATAGTAAAAAACACTTCATTCAAAGTCGACACAAACAAAATAAAACTAAATAAAAAACTCCATCTTGGTTCATCTTTCCACTGTTCCAATGATCATCAGCTCTGTTTTGGTTGAAATGAACCCTTAATTCACCCAGTTAGATTTAAAAAATATGCTGCTCTATACACGCTAACATTACTGTTTATTTAAATGGAGTCTGGTGGGTTTGGCGATAGCAATTTTGGAGCTGTCCTTGGTTAAACAAAAGTGATCTTACTCTTTAACAAAAAAGGTCTATATCCGTAGAGCTCCTTTCCATAACTCGTCAGTCACTTTTAATAACAATCTGAGCAAGTCAGTGGCAAACACAAGCACTTAAAGTGAATATAAATTGACGGAGCAGCCTTCCCCCAAGTGCTTACATTTCAACCTGTCTGGCAGCTGACAGCTCTTGCTCAATCTTGGACCAATTTCAAAAATTGTTGTTCCCCTTAGTCACTTCAACAAAAAAACATGGGAAAACGGGCCAGGTTGAAAAGTACAGATCTGATCCTTTGGTTTAACTTGATTCAGTGCTTAAACTTAAATACAAAAATTTAAATTCTTTTAACACTTTGATTGTCTGCCATTGTAACTTGTTTCAATAACTGTACTTCAACTGCTTGTTCAACTTTCTCCGTTTTTGAGCTATTTCAGATGTTTCAAACAAAAACCTTTATTATTTTTTGTTAGAAGTTCTCACAGGACTTCCAATTTAACTGACACCTACAGTACAATTTATTATACTTTGACAACTTTAACTCCTTTTAGTGCTCAAACTTTAACTGAATGACTGAACCTTAGCACCTATATTTTAACTAATTTAAGTTATTGTTTTTTGGCTGTCAGGTCAACTTTAACCCAAATTTTTTCTGTATTTTTGGATATTTCAAATGTTTCAGCTGCACAGTATTAGCAGTGAGCACACATACATTTAGACTTCTCTTGTTCTTACTACATCTTTCAGGAGAATACTTACCTTGCTGTCTGTTTCTCCTTATACACTTGCACTTTTTAGGGATTCCCCCACTAATGCTCATACTGTTCACAGACAGTTGGGTAACTACTTGCTGCATTGGAGCCTTTTTCTCCATCCTCATAAGAGCATTTCCCCTATGGATGTAGATATAAGGCTTATTCTGTAGACACGGGCTCTATAATGCTACACATTCCAAACATGCCTCAGAACAGTAGGGTGTGGTACAATCATCAGAGAGGTGCATCGCAGAACAAGGAAAACTGGCACAAAATTATTACCTTTGTTAGGAGACATGTCTGGAATTCTCAAGGTCTAGTAGGTTTGACTTGTCAGTGGGAGTTTTCAGAGTGAAGGAAATCTTCATAGTTCTAAGAACCTATATGAGAACCCCTTTTTGTTGTGTCCGCACCACAGGTACTAGAAACGATCATAGCTCTTAGAATGATGTTTTAGGGATTTTTTAGCACCCGTTATGGAGAAGGAACTCTCCCAAGCACAAAAGGAACCATGAGTGATGACAGTGTATGGTAACTGGTCCAGATGTCCTACGTTTATGTTGAATGGACGGACATAGTCATTGCAGCACCAGTAACCACCATTTTTAAAAACCCATTAGGCATGTAAACGGCAGACAACGCAAACAAAACCACGTAAAGGAAAGAAGGACCGATGGTGAAGTCCAGGCTTCACTAAGCATATATGTCATGATGGAAATACAACGCGATTTTGACTCGTCAAAGCGCAAGTAAGGATGCTATCTCCGCCGCTGGACAGCTTACAGTATGTCACTTCAGTCTGCCTATTGGTTGTGCGGATGCAAATGGAAAAAAGTCTTCGAAGGCAATTCATGGGGGAGCTACCCAGTGGGCAGTTCCTCATATACCCCTTTTCCACCGACATGGAACGGGTTCTGTTCTGGTTCCTGCATTTGGAGCCGTTCAGAGCATATCGACCAAAAATAAATTGGTTTGGACCCTGAAAAGTTGGTTCCCAGCTGGAACCAAAAAATAGCAGGTTTTTTCTTTACGACATCAGTGGGTATGTCATATTCTACAGGTTGGAAAGAAAAAGTGGAGAAGACAACAATAGAGATGTTTAATAAGAAATTATCTGGAAAAAAAAAGCATGTGTTGCGGACTCATTATTAGCTCGTCCATGCTTGTTTTTGGATAAAACAAACATCTGTGATAACAGAAAAAAGGTTTGCTTGTAATCAATGTGATCTGCTATCTTGCTACTACTGTTTACTTCAGCTGTGCATAGTGCAACACCCTTCGTTGATGACACATCCTTGATTACAATGGTACTGTTCAAAACTGGTGGAAAAAGAGGCTGGTTTGCATGATAGTACCAAGAGTCCTGACATAACCATTTAAAGAACCAGAAGTAATTTGGTGCAAAAGGGGTATCAGGGAGTCCCCAGAACTGTTCACAAAAAGTGACATAGATAATTTAAGAAATTAGGTATCACCTGGGTGGTGTACAAGCAGTCAGGTTTAAGTATAAGCATTGGATTGGCTTGCAGAACAATTAACATATGTACATTTATAGAAGTAGTGGAGTAGTGGAGGTAAATGGAGCAAGATCATAACTCTGGATAATCCACAGACCTCGCTGTAAAACCCCTGACAACTGTCCACAGCGAGTTCCTAGGATTATCCAGAGACACCTGGACAGTGTTTCTGAAAAGGGATGCTGCTGTTAAATATTTAAAATGTAATTTATCATTGCTGCGAGCACCACAAGTTGGGTTCCATTCACCTCCATTAATTTGGCTGCATGCACAAACCTCAGAGACAGATGTCACAAAGCTTTGTCAAATAAAACCCAAAGAAGTCTGCATAGTTAGACACCAGTTTTTTTGTGATTTGGTTGAACTGACCCTTTAAGAAACCACCTGAGGAACGTGTGGAGGTATGTGTTACTAAATGGTAACTTGAGCTGCACAGCTTTGCTCTCTACATCCAGGTCTCTGTTTCATCCTGTCATAATTAATGCAGGAGTTCATGCAAGAGCGATCAGGAAGCAGCAATTAAGCATAACTATGCATGACGTGTGTGACAGGTTAACAGGAGCAGAGTAATGCGCACTTTACAAAAACCACACAAATTCACACACACCTTTCACTGTCGAGCGCTGCGGCCTAGAGGTATGCATACTATCTTTCCGTCCAAAAACCACACACGAAACGCAAAACTATGTGTGGAAAAAAGGTTTAGCCGAAGGGGGGAGTCGTCTCTTAACTGTGGTGTAAAAACACTGAGCTGCTCGCACATAAAATGCTCTCAGACATGTCAGCCACGCCAAATAAAGCCACACTACAAGTCAGATAGGTTTTGCTCTTTATTTCAACACAAACAGTCATGTGTAATAATGTGCTGACTGGCATTATGATGCAGCCACAGTGCATCTGAGAACTCTTGCTGTAGCCTCAGAGTCGCTGATCTAGAGTCATCTATCTTGACATAACAGGCTGAATGTCATGGACTAAGCGGCCCAAACTGTCCCTGATCAACAACATAAATTAGCTACACATAGGTCATTTTGGTATTTGGATACAGCTAACAGCTAACTCCACAGAAACAGCATCATTGGTCACTTCTAGGTGTTACAAGGTTATTCATTCTCACCATTTTACAGTTAGACAAAGTCAACCATGTAAGATCTGACATCACAACAGCCTGACAAAAATACAGAGAGATTTAGGATGAAAGATGATCTTAAAATAATGTACTCTGATATCTTCTGTTTAATTTTCTGTTGCTTATTGTCCATGCAGTTCCTGGAAGAGTGTAGCAGGAAGAAGAGCTAATACTGCTTTGCAGCAACTTTTTCCAGGATGTAAAAAATGAACTGAGGCTTAAAATAGTTCCCTTAATGTCACAGTAGTCAGAGATACGGGGGCTGTGGGATTACTAAATGGGGTCATTTCTCACAAAAGCATCTTAAAATCCAATCTTACAGGTGTTTGTACTCACAGTTGGACTCAAATCACCTGATTCAGATGTTATCACTCTGATACATAGGCACTGCTAGTGGTTATCAGTGTTACAGATAATGTTTAGTCAGCTCCTGCTACACCAGGTAGTATGTTTAGAATGTTGTTAGCAGCTGTTAAACAACTGTTTCTTGTTATACAACATGTATATGAGCTGACGTTGTCACTGGGAGATGGAGGGGATGATGGATGGTGTGACATCCAGGCAAGATGGCTGCCAAGCTGCAGACCTGTTCAAGACCAACATACAACAACACCAGCTGTTCCTTAGCGAGACATCAAGGCGTTTCCAGCAGCATTTCTGTCCCCAAGGATGTCATTGTTTTGAAGGTCACAAGCAAGTCTCAAGTCTTTGCATTTAAGTCTCAAACCAAGTCCAAAGTTAGGACAGGCACGTCTCAAGTCTTAAACTTTGCATTTCCACTCCTAAGCAAGTCATACTGCGCTCTTTAGCAAATATAATGCTAGTATTGATACATCACAGTTACAGGTATCAAGGTCTCAGGTATATTCAAGTCAAAAGACTCAAGTCCAAGTCAAGTCACAAGTCATTGGTGTTAAAGTCCGAGTCGAGTTGCAAGTCTTGTTTGATTTTGTTAAGTCAAGTCCAAAGTCATCAAATTTGACTCGAGTCTGAGTCATTCACTTCTGCTGATAACCACTACTAACATTTTTTTAATAGAGTGATAACATTTGAAATCAGTGTTTAACTGGACAGGCCTGGCAACATTCTAAGATGTACATAAAAGGACGTGTTTCTAAATTAATATAGCATTTTTGTGAAACTTGGCATGAGAATAAGTGCATCATCAAGTGATCAAGTGAGTTGAAGATGAAAATCCAAGGAGGCCAAAAACTTGGCTCCAAATGAAACATGATTTTGGACTTCTCGGTTTTCCATAGATCGTTGAATGAATTTGTTAATCGGACAAGAAACATAATCTGACATTGTAGATAATGTGTAATCTGTAAATGTAGATCTACTGTGCGGGCTCACACTTGTATTCCAGGTGTGTTTGTCTTTCTTACACCATAACGATAAAGCCGTCCGTCTGATAGAGGGAATAATTCCTTGACTTGCACCTTGATGTAAGCGTGAAGCTTTTCTCATCTGCTTTTTGATTGTGGTTGAGTGAGATGCTTTTGCGGAGAAACAAGCCACCCAAAGAACAGTCTAACCAATGTTTAGTTTACTTGTCATGAGGCGTAACAGTCAGCCTGTGAAAACAGTTGTATAGTAGATCCTGTTACTCTGGATGGAGCACTGCAAAGTTTAATTAAAGATCCAGTTGCATTGTGGGAAATGCAGCATTTGGTGGTTTTGGAGCTTCACTCATACTAGGAGCTAAAAATCAGAATACCTCAGTCTGTGCTGCTTAAATTTCAACCATTCTTTTCTCTCTCTTTTTTTTTTTACCTGTATATGGTCTTTTTTTGTTCTCTTCAGGTGTCTGTAATTATACAAAGAATCTGTGCAGTAAATCACTCTTTGCTTGCTGAAATGCTCACAGCTCATAGAAATATGTTACTTTTGATGAGAGGTTGAGAGTTGACTTTGTCTTGTTTGAACTGTCACAAGCCAGAAAGGTTGAGAACCAATGAAACGGTGACAAAAGAGCTGCAATGACAACAATTAGGCATCAGATATTTAATGTTTAAATCCAACCTTTGAAAGATGACCAGTGCAGGACCCAGCTCTGACGTACTGTTAAATAAATAGGACTTTTTGTGCTTTAATGATATTCACTCTTTAGCCTACACTGAGGACAATATCAAGTGATCTGCACTGCTTAGCCAGCAGGAAGTGAGTGTTTCAACTCTAATCCACAAAGTCTGCAGTTTTCATTTTTCCAAAAACTGATAAGAGTAGCAGTATTTTGACTGGCTATGATTTCTGTAAATGTTCATCTTATTTTGAAGAGGCTGAGGTGAATCTGAAGCTGATCTCACCTTCATCGTGCATTTGTTTGACTGAAAGAGCTTTCACAGCACCTTGACCTGACTGTATGTTTAATGTTTACTGTGCATTAAGGTACACTGGATGATGACCTTTTAAAGGAAACCTGTCTGTTCATGGCCATTAGGCCTACTTACAGAGTCCAACACTCAGCCTCACCTTTCAGTTGCTTCAGCAGAAAAGTCAGACTGTATCCTGACAAAAGCAAGCTGTGATTAACTCTTTATAAACCTGTGATCAAGTTTACCTTAACGTTAGTTTCACGCTGAAAACTACAGATTACAAGTGGCTTATTATAATACTCTTCTAGGCTATTTCTCTTAATAAGTGGTACTTTTTTGACTCTTTCATGGAAGTCAAAGGTCAGCTATGGAGCAGCATGGCCTATCAAACCTCTCTACGCATGCTGTCCCTCCTAGCTTATTGTGCAACTACATATAGGAATTATTGCTATAGAATTACAGTGTCCGGACTGAGGTGCATTTTGGGTAGGGAAGATCATACCCCAGTATTGCCAACACTGATTCTCTGCCCCTGAGTTTGTGGCTTTGAAATGCATAAAAGTCCAACATGCTTCCAAACAAAGTGAGTCTATACCAGTGACTCGCACACGGGTGGGTTGTCCGAGTCTTGGCTGTGCATGGAGCTCAGACCTGTGTCCGAGTCCTCATCGTTTGTGTTGCAGGCCTTGGACAGACCTCTGGCCTGCTCCACCCAGACGCTGCTTTTCTCTGCTGACTCCGGCTCAGCCTCAGCGCTCACTGCACCCAGCTCTGCCTTACCATCATCAGTCAGTGTGTTGTTCGCCTGCTCTATCTCCATGGTCTCAACTTTTGCAAGTAGGTCCAGAAGTTCACTCTCCCTGGTCTCCCAGAGTGCCAGACTCAGGTCCAAGTCCCCCCTGATGGCGTCCAGGTCCGTCTTCAACCGCAGTCCGATGTACAGACTAGTGTCCAGCTGCGTTTTGATCCTCTCCTCCTCCAACGCGAACTCGTTCTCAGACAAACTTTCCACATCTGTCTCCACAGCAGGAGCGCCAGACGCTGCCAGGCACATCTCCTCACAGACGCTGTCTGTGTCCTTCGCCGCCTCCGCTCCTTTCTCCTCCCGCCGCCGCTTCATCCACCGCCGATTCAGCTCCTCCTGGATCTCCCCGGTAATGCTTTCCACGAGCGCCTCGCGCTCTGTCAGCTCCTCCTGCAGCCGCACCACCTCCTCACACCGGCGCGCGTACTCCTCGAACTGCGCCACCGACTCCGCTGTGCACCGCGCGTCCTGCCGCTCCGCTTTGCGCTTACAGTCCGAAGGAACGGAGCCCTCCGCGGAGGCGTCCACCATGTATGTGTCCTGCACATAGTTCACCCCGTGTCTCTTGATGCGGTCGAAGTGCACTTTGGCCTCGTACCGCTCGATCTCCCGGTCCAGCTCCTTGATCCTCTGGATCTGCTGGCGGATTGTGTGGTCCTGGGAGATCACCAGGTGAACCAGCGTCTCCATCTTCTCCGCGGAGCCCTTATCTTTAGAAACAGCCTGCTCTTTCTTTTTGTTCATCTTATCCAACTTCCTGAAAGCCTTCCTGACTATGCGCCTCTGCTTCTCCTGGGATAGATTAGCGGCAGCGGCCGCGGCGGTCCAGCAAGTCCTGGCGGTGCCCTTCAGCACCCCGCCCGGACCGCCGCTCTCCCGGCTCTGGACCACCCGGGCCTCGGCGCTGCGGGGCCCGTTGTTGGGCAACGAAGCCTCGTTCTTCACCAGGACGAAGCGGACATTCTCCTGCTCGTCCCCCCAGGCGCTCCACAGACGGAGGATTTTGGTCTTGTTGGGTAAAATCCTCTCGAAACCTCTCCATTTCTCCACCACGCAGTAGGACTGCGGGGAGCCGGACAGCATCGCTGCCGAGGCGCCCTGCTGCAGGTTCTGGTCCTCCAGCAGGACTTTGACCACGTCGGCGCAGGTGGTTCGCTTCGTCAGCCCGGAGACCAGCTTCTCCTCCCGGCAGACCCACACAGAGATCTTCCCCTCCTCCGGCTCCATCTCAACCAGAGAAAAAAGTTTCTACAACGTCAGTCTGTGTGTGGAAACTCAAAAAGTAACGGAGATGAAAGTAGTCTTTAGATTTCTGACAACATTTGAAGTTGACTTAAAACTTAATTAGTCCTCTGTGGGAGAAACTGAATCAAAACATTCATCCAGAAACAAATCCTCTGCGCTCCCGTCGCTGCTTATCAGCTCCCGCTTTCAACACGCTCAGTCCGACACTATAACCTTGTTACGCCTTTTGAAGGATTGTCAAAGTTGTCCACAAAAATATTATTTCCATTCATATTTTCCCAGTGGTCTGTTCCCGGGCTGCCTGCCGGGACTTCATCCCTCTCTCCCGGGCAGATCGATCTCAGCCCTGCGCACTGCTCCGGACAGGAGAGGAGCGTCCTTGTGTCAGGACAGGCTGCTCTCTGCTGTGTGCGGGACAAAACAGGAGGGTGCTGTAAGGCTGGGACACGCCTCCCCCCACTCCCCCTGTCTGTGTTTCTCTCTTTCTCACACACACACACACACACACACACACACACACACACACTCCTCCTACATAGGCAAACCTGGACTGAGATAGTGAGGCAAACATGCAGTAGTTATTGTTGAGTTTGACGTCACAGTGAAGGAAAGGTTTCACTGCTGCTAAATGCCTCATTTTACAATGAGTGTTTTTTTTTTATTGTTTGGGTTTTTGTTTTGTTTGCAAAGTTACTGTATCCATGATCAGTAATCCCAGATTCTGCTTTTAATCTCTGCCATTTACACACTTGTCACATGACTTTTATAATTAGACGTAGCTATCATACTGTCCCTGGTGCGTCTTCAAGGTAAAAGATTAGTGTTTGCATTTCTTAAAGAATGTTATGTAACATTGTGGATCTCGTACATCCGTTGCATACAAGCCTTTTAAACTAGTAGCTACTGTTTTAAAAGTGTACAGTCCGTGGTTTTCCAGGCCCTTATCAAAGTCTTTTAACAGCAAGTCCAGGTATTCCTTCAACTAAAGTCCAAAGCTCCTTCCAGTTTAGAAGAATTAGTCCTGTAGCAGATAAGCAACCCAACATTCATAGGCGGACAACAGTGACTCCAACATTATTATCCTATGTCAAGCCCAGCAAGCATGCTTTGGGACACACTGGGAAATTAACATAAAAAAAACCCTCTGACATAAAAGATATGGCTTCTAACCAGAGAGTTGAACAGCTGGACAGTCCCAGAGCAAGTGGAATAATGAACCTCGGTTGCCACAATTGTGCCAGCATTAATCAGGACTTATGTCATCCATCTTGAATAATCTAACAAGAGTAATATATGCTCTGCACAGAATCTTACTTGGTACTTGTGCTTTGAGTATTTACACTCTATTCTCCCTTATACTTCTACTCCACCACATTTCGTGGGCATATATATTGTAGCCTACTTTTTACTCCACTTTGTTTGACATGTCAGCACAATCTTATAAAAAAACATGAAATGGATAACATGAAAACAATGCCAATGCAAACACCATGAGAATCTTTTGTCATCACAAATCACAAATTAAGTATAAAGAGAAAGATAGTGCATGGAAGGGGTGGATGGGTCAAACAACCATGGACTTTCAACCAGGAGACCGCCATTCATGTCCTGTGTTAAACCACAAGTCAACATAATTACATGACCTTGCAAACTTAATGTCACTATAATGTACTTTACGCAGGTATTTTACATAACTACACAAAGTATGCATGTTTACCTCACTTATGTCCTGAACATAGTAATTTTAACCCAAAACATTATCTATTCCTGAACCCAACCAAACACTGTTCACTGTTCATAATAGACTTTGCATTGGTATTGTTTGTGTGTTGCCAGCATGTCATTTTAACACATTTTGTGCCCACAACCCCATAATGCGTTGTTAAGAGGTCATGTCCATCTCACGTATTTCTGTGAGGCTGTGTTTAACGTGTAGTTGCAAATAAGTCTGGATATAATGTGTTTTCATGCAGAATTCAGGATCAAGTTACACAATATGATGCATGTATCTATAAACATGCATGAAAGAGACACAGAGGAGGAACCTCCTACTGCATATATATGTAATTGAGTTGTATAAACTGTGCCTACAATAATGTGTAAGGCAGCCTAAAGTGCCATGTATAAAAATACTTTTACATAGTACACATAAAACAGAGCTATTAGAATAATGATTATTTATTGAACTACGTTTTTATAAATCATACATTCATTTGAGGATTCATGTAGTAACAGTTGTTTTTTTTTTTTATGAATATGTTGGTTTATCCACAGACCTTGTTGTGTGCAGTTTCATGTAGGCCTAGGAACTGCTTTCTTTCTACCAAACTACACCTGCTAACTGTATCACCTCGCAGAAGGAAGTGTGCATCTACTGTTAGCTCACCTAGATGCTAGGTTGTAGCATTAGCTAGCTCAGTGATTCACTGAGCTAGCTAATGTTACAGCTCAGCAGAAGAGGATGCCATTTATGTTTACTTCTTGCACTCTCATGAGCATGAGCCTCAAATACATGAGTAGATGCACACTTCCTTTTGCGCTGTGGTACAGTTGGCGGGTGTAGTTGAGGAGAACGAAAATAGTTCCTACATAAAACTGCTTACAACAAGGTCTGAGGATTATTTTGATCAACCAGGTCATGATTTCTGGAAAGAGACATTGCTGCTGAGTTTTTCAATTTTTTTTTTTTTTTGAGCAGAGTGCCATCTAGTTTCATTATATTGGAGAGAAGGCAGACCCCTCTACGGCCAATATCTCCAACACTTAGTAACTCACACCAAAATAATCTAGACTGATAAATAGCACTACAGGTTAGAGGAAAAATATGTGTTTTTGAATTTGAGTGAATTGTCCCTTTCAGTGACAGATTTCAGTAAGTCCTGCACCTTTGTGTAGAAACCCTTATTTAATCAGCACAAAATGTAAAGGATACTGAGCCTTGCCAAAGATGAGTTAAAATCACAAACCCTGTATAATATAGCTGGTGCCTTGTGGTGTATTTTTGATTTTCCCCCTGAATTTCTTAACTAATTTTAGGTTTGGTTATTTACATATCTTATATTCTCAGTGGTATTTTTTCATTTATTTATTTATTTTGCTGCAGTTATGTGGACGTATTTAGAGGCATTTTATGACGTCCCACACAAAGTAGAACTAATGAGTCCAGGTTACGAGCCAAGCTAAAACACAGATGAAGCTCTTACTCAGCAGTGTTGCACTGCAGTATGCATTGTTATACAGTTTCATCTTCATAATCCCCACACAGCCAAATAGAGCTCAGCTGGATTGATCATAAAGCAGAGAGAAATCCGTCTATTACACTGCAGGGTTCGGATATAGTGTCTGACCTCATAATCTGCTCTTTCAACTATTTCAGGCCACAATATGGTCGCTGAGATTCATAAAAGGATTTATCTGCAGTGAGTGTTTTTTTTGTGTGTGTGAGTATCACATTAATGGCAAGTGTTCATCCCCACCAGCCGCCATTAGTCCATTAGTTTGTGTACTCTAACCTTAGCTCAGAGTGATGCATCAGGCCACGTTTGTTGGTAAAATAACTGCTTGGAAAACCATCTGGGAATGTGAACACACACTAATGCATGTATGTGTGTATGTTTGCACATATCAGACACAAACACACCATCTTACTCACAGCAGCATTTGCACCCACGTTCAGAGCATGCATCACAAACACACTCGATTTGGATAAAGAGGATTGTCAGTGCTGCGTCTGGGATGTGAGATAACAGAGGGTTTTTCTTATCTTTGATCCCATTTCCTGTGAGGTCATCACATCTGTCTGGACTGCAGACTTATTATTGGTTGTCAAGGGTTTGGTACTTTCTGTGTTACCACAATGCGCATGATCACAAGGTAAGGCTGAGTAACCCAAACATGCACTGTCATAAAAAAGCTCTGTTATAGTAAATGTAAGTGTTAGCTGAGCCTGTTTTTTGCCCCTTTGTGATTGTAAACACGATGTGGTGTTATGCATAGGTGTAATCCATCGAATACAATGAGATGTGGTAATAACTCCATTATCTAAATAGCAAATGAATATGAATGTTTGGGGCTGTTTATGCAAATGTGTGCATGAAAGTGATGCTTCAAGTTCATCATGCCATAAATAGAAATACAGAGCTTCTGTAGGGCCATGGGTTTAATTCCTGGAGTATGGCTACCTCTGGTGTTCACAAAGGAAACTACATCATCAAAGTCTAGGCTCATTTACACTTTAAATTATCAGAAAAATATCTTACATTTTTTCTCAATTGCTTTGGGATATTTCATAGTCATTTCCACACATAATGCAAAAGAATACATTCAATTACCTTCAGTTGACCAAGCTATGCATTTAAGGTAGTCTCAGTGGTTATAATGGGTTATATTGCTTTTCTAACTGACTGTAAGTCATATTTAGCATTGTGGTGGCTGTGTTACTCCTCACATGCAAAATATCTGAGCCAACTGATGCAACCATTCAAACAGAATTGTCTCATATTTTCAGTAATCTGGTGTCATAATGCCACAGATTATCAACATGTTGGTCCTCAACTCATAGTGAAACTTGAAACAAAATATGTCACTCACATGTCAAAGTCAATTTACTGTACCATGTAAACCATAGTTTACATGGTACAGTAATTAGCAAAGGTGTGGACTCGAGTCACATGACCTGGACTTGGGGTCAAAAATTTGATGACTTTAGACTCGACTTGACAAAATCAAAAAGACTTGCAACTCGATTTGGCCTTTAACACCAATGACTTCACTTGGACTTGAGTCTTGTGACTTGAAAACACTTGGTATTTCCCAAAGTACAGAGATTAAAATGTATGTTTTAATGTATGTATTAAAAAGTGTGCCACAAATCAAATCATTTTTCCTCATTTCTTGAATCAACTAATGATAACACTTTTCATTTCCAGCAAGTCGACACTTAATTTGCTAGATGCACTGTGACTGAACAAATTTGACACCATCCAATCAAGATGAAGGCGGGAACCATGCAGAACATTACATTACTGAGTGGGAGTTGGAAAAATGATAAATTAATATAATTAAATTAATGATAAAGATAATTTTGTTTGCGTACAAAAATTACGTGGTGGTCAACAAAAAAAAAAAACAATTACAGTATGCAAAACGTGCAGGTTGAATATTACAAACAGAGATGTGACAACTTCCAACAAACTTATTTTAATGAATACATACAACATGTTAAAAGCATTAATGGTTTTGGAAAATTTAATAGTTATTATTCTGTTGGTAAAATAGCATTAGACTTGACAAGGAGCACATTATAACTTGTTTAAGACTTGGGACTTGACTCAAGACTTGTCATTCTTGACTTGGGACTTGAGTGCAAAGAATAGAGACTTACTACCGTCTTAAAAGAAACAATGACAAGGTCCCACCTCTGGTAGTAACCGTTACCAAAGTTACCGAAAATGAACAAGGCAGACCTCATAAAGGGACGATGGACAGCTCATAAAAAAGAGAGGGTGTCTACATATGTCAGTTTGGTCAGAGGAACCCGTGGACATGGAGGGACAGACAAAAGGAGGACCAAACTGACATTCTGCCTGTAAGGACATCACAGCAGAGACATGTAGAGGACAGCTGCACCATACCAAAAACATTTTCTGTGTGTGCTTTGTAAGGACAAATGTTTTACTGTGACCAGAAAAGCAAGCAGAGGCTGCTCTTGAAAAATGTATTACTTCCACCCTATTGTTAGTTCAGCTAAAGTTTTAAATTTTACAAAGAATTTGCTGTGTGCTGCCCCTGGCCCCGAGGAGGGCTCTGGCCAGTTGCAGGTCTCGTGTCTTGTCTTGCCTTGGAGGGAGTTTGTCCGCTGAGGAGTGACATTCTTTGTTTTCTTAGTTTTTTTGTTTGTGTCACTCAGAGGTAGAGGGTGGTACCTTCACTGCTGACCTTGTGTGACCAAGTAGCTGGTGCTGAAGCCACAACTCAACAGTTCTGTTTGGTGCAGAGGGACAACATGACACAGATTTAAAGACTGTAACTACAGCTGCTGTGCTGCAGACACCAGCCATTTACTGGAGCTCCTCAATCTTCATGTGTATCCTTCATGTCCTCAGACTTGCAGCTCTGTTCATCACTCGTTGAATCTGGTCTTACTGTGTTCTGATACACCGCAGTCACGCTTTGGGTTTTTATAACGGCATTGAATTTGTTTTACTGTACTTTCATTTATTCATTTTCTGAGACTGTTATGTATAAAGTACACACACCATAAATGGGAAGGTGAACTTCTCAGGGAGAAACCTGACTGTAAAGGATATTCTACTTTAGTTGGGGACAATAAAGTTCTGTGCTGTACAGTTTAACTGATGTGAGATTTTTAAAAATGCAAGCATGTCAGAAAATGTGCTTAACCAACTGAGTAAATCTGCAACTGAAGGTCCACTTACTTATCCATCTCACATTATTAATCAGTGTACAGTATGTGACATTGCTCAGTTGTGATCATGACCTGTAACTTTGCTCATATGGTTACAGCTTATATACATTATGATTTTAATCAAATATAACAAAAATAAAATGCTCTTGATGGATTCAGAGATCATGGATGTAATTGTAAATGAGGACTTATGAGTAAAGACAAAAATCCCAGATCACAGTTTGGAACTGACCATTTATTTAAACTGAATAGCATATGCGTACAAAGTCTCTACAAAGCTAGAAAATATCTAACATACTTTTAGCCATGAGGGGGAAAAAAGTTACAAAGCAAAGATCAGACCCTGTGCAGTACCAATAGACACACATGACTAGCTTTTGGATTTTTCCTAAATGTACTCTCTTCTTCGCAAAATAGGATAAACATTAGAATATCAAAGATATGCACAACATCTGTAATAAACGTTATTGTCACCTTTATATAAAGCACCTTATCAAAAACCCCTCAGTGCACATACAGATGTGCTGCACGTGCGCCGGAGTGAAAAGATTCAAGGCCATTTTGGAACTGATTACAGACAGGATTTCTGAGCCACGTGTGGTTCGGAACAGAAGATAACATAAATTTAAACTTGCACGTACGGGACGACATTAACAACACAGACGACAATGACCCAGAAACTCAGCAGTTTACTGACCTTTGAAACCTTCTGAATAACCTTTAGGCAGCATAGATACACTGCTTTTTGTGTGGCTTTATTAGTGTGAGCACATTCTCCAGCTGGTTATAACAGGCAGGCGTTCACCGGTAAAGCCCTACAGTTGTGAATTTTAACACATTTGGGGCATTTTAATAAATCAGTTTCCTGTGGCCTTGTCATACAGTCTGCCAACCAAGATGATAGAGGTGTCCATATTTAATAAGGTCAAATTTTAAAGACGAAAACATGTTAAATGCACACTTTTCTAAACCTGGTTCAAACAGTTCTATTTCCAGTCCTTTTCATTTCATTTTATTTTTTACTTACATCTGTACAGTGTTACAGTGTAGCCCATGAGCTACTGATGTGTGGAGGCTGATAGTCATTTTCCCTCAGACTACGTTTTTGGCAGAAGCTTGTCAGTTACTCTAGCTTGTAAGAAATCCATTTCCCTCTGTGTCACGTGATGACTGTCTTTGGTAAGCAGGTGGTAGATAATGTCCAGACAAAGGGTCGTTATTGCAAAATCAGCTCGTCTGAAGCTGTGTGTTAGGTTACCATGTACATGTTTCATGTTAGTACTCTGCTGTGAAGGTCTAGTAGTCTGCCCGCAAACAACAAACCACTGTAGTGTGAGATAGAGCTCTGGGAAAGTTAAAGGCAGGGGAATTCTGAAAGGGGGTTTCCTGACAGAATGATTCACCACCAGTGTGTTGAAAGGACTGCGTTTTGTTGTGGACAGGTGGCTGTAACCCTGAGAGACACCCACAGGAGTCCTTACACAAATAGAGTCAAAATATAGTGCTTGTGGACAATGGCAAATGTTAAACCTTTCAGCACAGAGAAGGAAGACTGATGGTCGTTCCAAACCAGTCAGATCTGAGTCATCTTCAAGACCAAATATTTAGCTGTGACTAAAGATGGCTCATTTCAGTTCTGGTAAAATCGTAAAAGTTGCCCTAGACACAAACTAAATTTGTAAGGTTTTCTCCGCAGATTACTGGGTATTCTGGACACCACATAGCATCCCAGCTGGTCACACAGGAAAGTTCATTGTTGAATACAGCATGCTGATCACTGTTCTTTAATATGTTCTTCTGGGACCTCATAACAGAAAAATATGCAAACTGCGTTTAGTTTCAAAGATAGGAAAAATACTATTTCCCTATTACAGAAGCAATTCTTATACTCATAGCTGTGTCCTATCTTATCTCAGACCTCCTGTTTTATCTTTACTTAAGAAATCCTAACTATAACTGTAAATTCAATTATTCAGTGAACATTTGTCCAGTCATGCCTGTATCTTTGATTAGTAAGGCTACTTGAGATGGACAAGCCTTAACATCAATGGCTCTCATTTGCCACTGGCTAGCTGGCTTGTAATCGCGGACAAATAAATATAGGCATTCAATTTTAGCTATAAGGAACTTTTGGGAAGTTTTCTTCTCATTTATTTAAAATAGTTATTAATTAAAACGGAATTTAACATTTAAGGTTTCAGTAGCCTTTCAGTCGTTACATTTCGGTCTTCATGTTCCTTTCCATCGTCACTGTCATTAGCATACAGACCTACCAAAAGTACTGCTGCCATTCTTGGCAGTTATCTTGATTTTAAGAAAGGGTATAAAGGGCCATACACATGTTGCGTTTTTATTCATTATTTTTAATGTTAATATGGAGAAGAAGTTGATCATTTTAGTGCAGGGCTGCCAGAGCTTTACATCTCTCCCATAGCAGCAGGCCTACACACAAACAACACCTGGAAGAAGCTCAGCTCTGCTCTCAGGGCATCAGGTAAATGATATGGTGCTTGTTAAGGTTGCCTAGCAACCTCAGATGCAATCTGCTGCCACACTCCTGAAAGCTGGCACAGAGTAGGCACAAGAGTAGCGCCCAGCGCCAATCCTCGCCATTTCCAGGCAGTTAAAGACACGGCATGTGTTCCAAAAATCCTAAATGTCAATCTAAACTGAGATAAGATAGGATTTCAGACTACAGAAGTTTCTGTCATGAGGTTCCTGATCTGTTTCAATTGATTTACAGTGGGGATGTGAAGATTTGCAAACTGGTCTTCCGTAGTAGTAACAAGTCTGAGTTGTATTTTATAAATGAGTTACCAAACAATACCTAGTGTGCATGTAATTCACAAATACATGTAAACGCTGCCATAAAATGAAGTGAACAAGAATGTGTTTCATTAACATCCTGTGGGAAATAAGAACAGCTAAGGATGGTTCACGGCCAACTGTTTACAAATTACAACAAGAAACAGCCATTAAATATGGAATTTGGATAATTAGCCCTCAGACACTTAAACTGGAGCACATGATGCCTAATTATGCATTTATATTCACTAAAATACCTTTCTATACACCATTTACAACACCAAATTATCAGGACTTTCGTCAAACAGATTAGAAATGTCTACTGCTGATCACAACCAAAGGCACTTCATGCTGCCGAGCATGACACAGACGAACCAGCAACCATCACCTGCTACAGTACACTTCATCAACAGTTTTTTGGTTTTTAATTAATAAATGACTTTAATTCTGACATAATATCATCTAACTGGAAGAAACAAGTCCTGGACTGATTAAAAGAAACTGAGTCTTCAAACACTTTTCTCAAAATAATAACACAGGTGCCATGGCTTCTGGTCAGGGCAATCTTCAGTTAAAATATGGACATAATAACATTTCAGGCTTCAACACATTGGTCAATATGGAAATGTTAAAGCTCAAGTTAGCTGGTGCAGGAATATCGAACTAAGCTAAGTTTAATTTGCAAAGTGAAACCTGATCAGAAAAACATAGGTTTGTTTTAATTCTTTGAAATGTTTCCTTCCTTGTATGCACACCATGAATGACACTGTATAGTTTTTAGGATTCACAGTGCTTCCTAAAGGACTGACCTAAATATGTTTGATATTTAAAGCTATAATCCTTAAGATTTTCCAAAAAATCAAACCCTGTTTTTTCAGCAATAGCCACTCCATATATTCTTTAATTACCTCTCAATGTGGAAGGCTTTTGTTGTTGGTGGCGGGGTCCGCCATACCCATACTGGATTCAAATTGCCTTACAGGACAGGTGTAATTCAGCTTTACTGTTTGTAATTTTCTCTCATTGACATCAGCCTCACTACCCTGTATTATCTCCTCTAATGTCGTATCAGAGCTGTATTAAAGGGGAATTATGGCCAATCTCAGAATTCATAATTGTTATTTCCCATGATTTAAGACTGTCAAAAAATATTAGTTCACATAAAAAAAAATCTCTCCCAAATCCAGAAACTAGGACTAGCACCCTAGAACGACTAGGGTGCTAAAACTCAAACTTGTGATGTCATCAAGTATAGCGTCTGGAGCTGCTCCATAGACCAGAGCCAAAACAGCCAGGACTGAAATCTTAAGGATCATAGCTTCAACATGCTTATTCATTTATTTATTCAATCTTAATGAAGAGTCACTTGTTGCACAAAAAGGTACCTGAATTGCTCAATTTCACTTATACTCTCTTATTAACATACATTTTTAGATAGTGTTCCTGGAATTAAAATATAGTCTATATGCTACTATCAATAAACAATTTCCCAAAGTTTAGAAGCTATTAATTTTTTTTTTTAAAGAAAACATACAAAAAGGTAAAAATTTGATTTCTTTTCTTTGGGAACAAACCTCTTTTTTTGTGCAAGAATGCAGCTCACACAATTTGCAGTGGCTATCTGTACAAAACCACCTGTATACTGTACTATACGATAACGCAGTAGTGTTATTTCCTTCTCTGGTTATTGATGATACACAGGGTCTGACCTTCAGTGTCCGTCAGTATCTTGGCAGATAACACACACACTTTTGTCACCGGGGGGCGAAAATTGTGATTTTCTTTTTTCGACCCTGGGTTGACTTTCCCAAAAGCACATGACAGAAGTATCACTTTCATTTCCATCAACAGAACTGCAAAATACAAATTTACTGTAAGAAAGGGGGGGAGAAACCAGTTAGCAGGAGACATGACATCTCCAGGTGATATCAGAGTCACCATGTTCTCGGGAAAAACCACCCAGGTCGATTCTGATGCGTTTCTATGGCTGCACTGCCACTTTGCTTTTTACAGCTAATGAACATCTGATATTCAGGTTGGATTTAATATTTGGAAATGCTCCTGTTGAGGAGGGTTCTGCATCATATCTGACGTTAAATAAAAATCACCCAATCATTGTCGTGGTGTTTTGTGAGCAGCAGTGAAAATGCAGCCATTTTCTTCCGCAGTGAGTCGAGTTGTTTGGCTGAAAGACACTTTTGTAGAATTCAGTTTTTAGACATTTTACCTCCAATGTCACCATTAATCACCAAGCAAAAGGCCATATGTGTGCATGTGTGTGTGTGTTTGTAGAAGTGTGTGTGCTATTCCTTGACAAGTCGGTAGATGTGGTGCTGAGCTCCGTGCTCACTGTTGGACACCTCAAACACACACGCCATACACAGCAAGGTCTCCTGAGTGTCTCTGTTGCTCACAACCTGGACGCACACACAGAGAGGAAAAAAAAGGATAAAAAAGTTAGGGGTTAAATATGTATCTAAAAACACACACAAAGAAAAAAGCAAATTAATTAACTCATACTATAACACACACAGACGGACACACTGACTGATGTACTCACCAGCAGAATAGTGAAGTTCTCCAGCACACTGTTCATCATGTATTTCTCCGGCAGGTGTTTGAGCTTGTGGATGAAGTTGATCATGTATTCACACATCGGAGAGCGACTGATTCTGTAGACGAAGCGCCCATTTTCAAACCTTGCGTACTCCGTCTGAGAGAGAGAGAGAGGGAGTCAGTCAGCATAACTAAATAAAAGTGATAACTAACCACTGAAGGGGAACTCAGACAATTTTTAGCACACATCAAGATTAGTTAAGTAGTCAAAAGCTGACCCTGTGAAAACTGCCTTCTGTGGCTCTGGAAAGCTGTGTTGGGCCTCACAAAGTGAGCCTAATGATGTCATTAGGTATTACCTGCTTTCAGATTTGGACAGAAAGCCTGTGGTACAAAATAGGACGATGGAGTTGGAAAGAAAGACGTGTGAATTTGGTCTAACAAGGAGAAGTTGCATTACAGGATGTATAAGTGTTTTTGAGCTTGTCCCACATATCAATACTTAATTACTTGAGTACTCTTTTAATATGTTTTTAAAAAATTTGTGTGCATCTGTTTCCTGAAAGATCTGAATTCAGGAAACGGTGTCTGAAGGACTGTTTGGTCTTCTTTTGTTGTTGAAGTGACAGTCCACCTCAAAATCACAAGTTTTTCCTCTTATCTGTAGTTCTGTTTATCAATCTAGATTTTGGCGTGCGCTGCCGAGTCTTGGAACTAGATGGCACTCGGCTTCTGGTGTTTGAAAAGATCAACATCGATCTCTCCAGAAATCATGAACTGATTACTCAAGATAATCCACAGATCTTGTTGTGAGCAGTTTTAAATAGGAACTATGTTTTTTTTCTACCAAACCACACCCGTCAATCATATCGCAGCGCAGAAGGAGGCGTGCATCTACTCATGGATGAAAGACTCGTGGTCATGACAGTGCGAGATGTAAAGAGATTAATGGTGTCCGCCTTGGTTGAGCTGCATCATTAGCTAGCTCAGTGGTACTAGTTGAGCTAGCAGTAGATGCACACTTCCTTCTGCGAGGTGATAAAGTTGCCGTTTTTAGTTTGGTAGAAAGAAAATAGCTCCTACATGAAACTGCTTACAACAAGGTCTGTGGATTATTCTGAGTAATCAGGTCACAATTGTCATCTTGTCATTATACGGGAGAGAAGACAGACATCTCTATGGCCGATATCTCAGACACTCTGCAATTCACAACAAACAATTTAGACTCATAAGCAGCACTACAGGTAAGCAGAAACCTGTGTATTTTGGATCTTGGGGTGAACTGTCCCTTTACGGTTTGACTTTGAGTGTCTGATTTATTTGTTCAACCACAATTTCTACCAAACTTGAATTTACTTTATTAACTGTATTAAACCCATGCGTTTCTATGGGCCAGTTACTTTCATGAATTAGCTCCAGGTTTTTTCCCTTAAGGTTTGATTGCAGAGATTACATTAAGTACAGCACAACAGACATTAATGCCCATGAAAGGCTCCTGGTTTATCATTGTAAAATATAACACACAATAACGACTTGAATCCACCCTTACCTCCACCTTCTCGACCACCTGCTTGCCAAAGGAGCAGACCTTAGTGGAGCAGGTGATGGTCATGTTCTCTGAGCTCTCATATTGGCTGGTGACACCGTAGAAAGCCGCTGGGTCGTCCTGCACATTATAACTCAGGTCCGCCTGGCAACCACAGAGCAAAAATATTACCATCTTCACCACTAATGACAGTATGAATGTCAATGATCAAAATCAGACAATCAAATCCATCTACACTCCCAGTCACATGAGGACAAACATGAAGAGGAGCACTGCATGTTTTCTAAATTAGCCAACAGTGCCCTCTGCTGGTTGCTTAGACACTGAGCCATATACAGCAGCGTCTGTAGCATCAGAATGAGACAGACTGAGGAGCAGAATGATGTGCTGGTCTAGAGTTCCCATCACAAAGACAGTGACAAAGACATTCACATAGTCCTGATTTGATTTGTCTCGGTTTTGAGGCATCAGCTTTTGGGTTTTTTGCTTCAACTGCACTACAACAAATGGGAATGGACAGTTAACTGGAACTACTTTCCACTGGACAAATAGTCCCTTATCAAAAAGAGGTCTGTTGATTTCTGATTCTGTCAAATATTGCCACTCTTTTTCTCCATATTCTAATTTTACTGTTGTCATTTTTCTGTCTGCTTTAGAGACACAACATCTGTTGAATCTTCGTCTGTCCTGGAGGAGGGTCTCTACTCTGTTGCTCTTCTTTTTTTCCCCACGTACAGGATTCTTCAGGGAAAGTTTTTCAAATTTACAATAAACAATATTTGGCTGCACGGCATGAGTTGTTACTGACTGACCTCCTGATGGGCAGCTGCTTGTAAAAGGGTCATTTTCAGTGCTGTAAGCATGGCTGTCATTTATACCGGAGACATTGGGGACATGCCCCCACTACTTTTTGAAGTGTTAAAGTTTGAACCAAGAAATTTTAACTTACAAATGAAAACACTTTTAGAAAGATCTATTTGCACAATAAGAAAACATACCATGCACTGTAAATATAGTAGCAACAAGTCTGCATTGTCCACAAATGTAATGTAAACTAAAACAAAATAAAATAAAAATTAAATAATGTAAATTAATAATGTAAACTAAAACAAAATAAAATAAAAATAAATAATGTAAATTAATAATGTAAACTAAAACAAAATAAAATAAAAATCAAATAACGTAAATTAATAATGTAAACTAAAACAATATAAAATAAAAATCAAATAATGTAAATTAATAATGTAAAGTAAAACAAAATAAAATAAAAAATAGCGTAAATTAATAATGTAATCTAAAACAAAATAAAATAAAAATCAAATAATGTAAATTAATAATGTAAACTAACACAAAATAAAATAAAAAATAAATAACATAAATTAATAATGTAAACTCAAACAATATAAAATAAAAATCAAATAATGTAAATTAATAATGTAAACTAAAACAAAATAAAATAAAAAATAGTGTAAATTAATAATGTAATCTAAAATAAAATAAAATAAAAATCAAATAATGTAAATTAATAATGTAAACTAACACAAAATAAAATAAAAAATAAATAACGTAAATTAATAATGTAAACTAAAACAAAATAAAACAAAAATTAAATAATGTAAAGTAAAACAAAATAAAATAAAAATTAAATAATGTAAATTAATAATGTAAAATAAAACCAAATAAAATAAAATAAAATATAATGTAAATTAATAATGTAAACTAAAACAAAATAAAATAATGTAAATTAATAATGTAAACTAAAACAAAATAAAATAATGTAAATTAATATTGTAAACTACAACAAAATAAAATAAAATAAAATATAATGAAAATTAATAACGTAAAGTAAAACAAAATAAAATAAAAATTAAATAATGTAAATTAATATTGTAAAGTAAAACAAAATAAAACAAAAATTAAATAATGTAATGTAAAGTAAAACAAAATAAAATAAAAATTAAATAATGTAAATTAATAATGTAATCTAAAACAAAATAAAATAAAAATTTTCCCATTGAGTACTGAACCTAAAATGACCCCGACATGTGCAGCAGCAATCGGTAACTTTAAAAAATTCTTGATACAGTTTCTTCTTGTCCATGTTTTCCATTCTCTCTCTGTGAACATGACAATATATATGAGCTAGTGAAGTTCAGGATTAGAATTGAATAATGTGTCATAATGTTGACATGAATAGGTGCCACATTCAAATTTAAAGGGGTTATTTCCTCAAACAAAAGAAGAGTGAAGAGTAAATCATACCCACTTGTGCTGACTCAGCAGGGTTAGCATTAAATAAGAAAAGTTGATCTACAGAGCAATAAATATTTGAAAGCAATACAGACTGCCTTCCAGCCTTACTGCATTATATACCATTCTATTTCTATATTTTGAATTGCCACCTGAAGTTTGTGTTTTTCCCTTACATAAATAAAGATATTTCCTCCATAAATTGATGCATAAAAATTCACCAAGATGCAGGAGATGAAGTGTTTGACACCCAAACTTTCCTGGAGACGGACCTGAGGAGTCCCGGGTCCATATGTGTCCACTCCAATGTTGTAACAAAGCGCCACTTTTTTTTGTTTTTTCATCTGAACCCTTATGTCCCCACCACTTTTCAACACAAAGCGACACCATTGGCTGTAAACACCACCAACAAAATTCACTTCAGCTTCACTGTGTTGGGAAGGAGGCAGAGATCTCAGAGACTGAGCAAATATGTTTAGTTGTAATTTGGGTGAGCTGACCCTAAAATAGCTGTATTTTTTTTCTATCAAAACCTTTGATAGCTTTGTTTCTGCTTGATGTAACTTTTACAAACATAAATTAAACAAATAGCGAGATTCTAACCTACTTTCTAAAACACTAGAAGATACAACAGGGCAAAGAACGATATTCTTGTGTAACTTTGTGTCACAAAAGTTGTTTAATCAGAGCAGGGAGAACATGCTGCACCTGGATTACAGGCTGAGAGAAGCGAAGAAGGGTTTGTACTATTTGTAATGAGTTCTCTAAGGAGCACTATGTGTCTCAGGGCGGAGAACAAACACACACGCTCACACACCATATGCTAAGTCATCCTCTTGTACATTCACAAACACACACACACACACACACACACACACACACACACACATCAAACTGTGCTCTATTAAAGCAGCAGATTATCAGAAACATGTTCCATTGTGGTAGATCAGAGAGCTTTTTAATTAAATTCAGAGGGAAGGCTCTCCGCATGACACACACACACACACACACACACACACACACACACTTTCCATCTCATCATTGTACACTGAACCCACTTCAGCGGCCTGCAGGCCTCTGTCCTCCCCTGCAAGGTTCAACTGTCGACAACCTCAAAGCTACATTCAACTCACCCTGTCCAGTGCTTTGATAATTAACCCTCTGTGAAACCCACCCACAAACAAGAATTGTCCAGTGACAGCTTAGCAACCGTAACCAGGCGCAGCAGGCCTGTCAAGCTTTGGATTTCTCCACATGCTGAAGTGGTATACATGCGGTTTTAGTAAAGGTGATATCCTTCAAACAGTGGAATCTTTTTTAGAGGGTGGTTTCCTTTTTAATCTTTCAAAAAAAAAAAAAGAAAAGAAAAAAGACAAGAATAAAAGTGTAAGCAACTGATTAAACAACGGAAGTGTTTGCTATAAAATTAGCTGTGATTTTTAGCATGTCCAGCTTAGTAACTTACCACAAAACGTGCACTATTTTGTGGGGTTATAGGTAACATAAAAAAATTGCCATCTCAATAGGCACATCTACTGCAAGGAAGTTTACAATCCAGCCACCACAGCCAATGGTAGGTGAGATATGGTCACCAAAACACATTGGTGGGCTCTAATCCTAAAAAAAATCACTTATGACATAAAAGTTAAACATTTTGTGCAAATACAAAAAAATAAAGCATAACTCCTGCCAGCCTTTGTCTTCCTCTTCCAGTTATGCCAGCTAAGCAGACAAACAGTGTAGTGCCAGATTGATCTTATATTTGTTCCTGTCATAGCCTATTTATAATGACCGGACAAAGAACTGTCCCTTTCCATGCCCTGTACAAGGATCTTTAACCAGTGAGGATGTTGACTTTTTGCCTGGGACATGCAGTTTTAGCCCAAGCGGCAACATTTAAGGCTGAAAAATAAGCCAACGAAGAAGTGCCAAAAACTGCAGTTACTCTAATGACCACTAGAGGCTGGCTCCGAAACAAGTAAATCAGCTCCACCCTCTCTTTCAAATACGGTCACATCCATCTCCAAAATTCCAAGATGGCGACGGTCTACAAACTAATGGGTGTCATCAAGGAGGCAACGTCCATTTTTTTATTTTTTTACAGTGTGTGCTTTAGCATCAGTCAGTCTTTAATTATTATCATTAATGTTGCTATCCACTTCTATTTAACACTGTTATACAAGTTAAACAGTAAAACAAGTCAGCTGGAGGGTGGAAACATTAAAAAGTCAGCCATTGGTGGCATTTTCAAGTAATGGAGCCAAAGTTAGCTTAATGAAGTATTTAGCTAATGCTATTAAAATCTGCTAATGACCAGGGACATTATTTACAGGGCAGACACAGGGGACATGTCCTCTGCACCACATTGTTATTTATTGCCGTTTCTTGTTCTTCTTTGTCTTCTTGTTTCCTGTATTTTTTGCATGCCTAGTTTTCTAAATTAAATTTTCAATGTGACTCTTTCTTCTTGACTGCTGCTACACTGGAATTTCTCAATTGTGTGATCACTAAAGGTGTCTCTTATCTTAACTTTTCAAAAGGCACTATTGGGCACCTTAAAACCTACATAACATATATGAAAAAAACAAAACAAAAAACAAAACAAACAAAAAATGTGGTTTAACAGGGTTAAAACTGTATTTCTGATTTATATCAAAAACTATAAGAGATTTTCAAAATTAAAAAAGTTTTTTTTTTCCATACTTTATTCATTACCATGAAAATAATGAATTATACTCCTCACTTTAAACATTTTGCTATATTGGAGCACCTTTGCTGTTTTTGTACAAAGTGTCTCATTCAATGCGAAGGCCTGAACTATGCCAGCATATATTACTGTAAGTAACCTTTAAGTAAAAGTAACTTTTAAAAAGGTGCTTGTGAAATTTCAGTCTATGACAATTTGTATTTAAAATTCTCTAGACTCTAGTTTTATGATAAATGCATATTTTGATATTGTATTGCATTGAAGTGCAGGGCAGATATCAGTGCACTACTAGTGCAAATTTGAACTAAATCCAACCAGCAAATGGAAAAATTACACGAGATTAAGTACAGTAGGCATATCTCCAGAGTGGTTTTATTCTGCACTTTTTTGCCCATGGGCTGAATCACTTTATTGATAATTTCATCACTTTTGGCTTTATTTTGCCATATAAAATACTGTTGCTATGACCATCCATTTCATGAAGGGGACATATCAAAATAATTTTAAAAAAAAACAAAAAAAAACAAAACACATGGTCATGTTTTGTTTTATCTCTGATTGGAGTATCTGAAAAACTAAAGCCCTTTGGAGTATTTGTGCCTGTACTACCACTACCTTTGAAATCAAATTCAACCCCTGCTAGTGACAGCTGTCATTTCATCCATTGTTTGAGAGATTACAGTGAATTTTGAGTAGTAAATCTACCACTGCATGTGTGCTGTGTGAAAAGGGAAAGTTTGACAGGCGTGCCACGGTAACTTTGGGGACTGAAATCCCACACCAATTTGGAAGATCATAATAAAACCTGTCTTGTCACATTTCACCTACTTGAGATCCAGTCTGAAATTAGTCTGAGACTCTTTTGAGACTCTTTGATTGGTTTGAGTTTATCAAAAGTCTGATGAAAAACCACTCAGTGTCAGCAGAACTCTGATGGAAAAGAAATCGCTAAATGTGTGATGTTCTGTTGCCGGGATTTTTTAAAGTCCTTTGGTATACTGCAGCTCTGAGAAAGAACAGTAAAGTGAGAGACACACACACACACACACACACAGGTGGAGACAGAGCAACCTGTGAGTCAGGAGGTGAGCAGGTGTTCAAACAAAGCGACTGTGCTTTCATCAACCCACCACCTCCATTTCCCAGGTGGAAAGACAGAACACACGCACACACACAGACATGGCACTGGGTGGAAAAATACAGGGAAAATACGGGGTACATGCCAACCTTCGTGTGATGGCTTAACATTTCAAAAACAAAATTAAGTTAAAAAATGGCCAATGTATGAAAGATGGAAATTTTCAGACACTAACTGAGGCCATAATCATTTTGAATATACTGACTGATTTTAATTTGAAGATAAGTGTTTGTCTGCTCACCCAGAACTTGATCAGGTAGAAAGCGTTTTGTGGGCCCTTGCCGAACAGCTCCTTGAGGCCGCCCTTCTTCTCTGGGAACTTGTCGTAGATCTGCCTGATGTCCACACACTCCAGCAGGGGGTCGCTGTAGCTCGGGCTGCTCTGGCTGATGTTCACAAACAGGTGCTTGTTGTACTACGAGGAGGGACAAACTTTGAATTAGGCAAAGAAAGAGGCAGAAAGAGAGTAGACAGGTAGAAAACAGTTGATCTCACTCAGTGAAACAGCAAGGTCTTAATTTATGAGTTTGGACCATCTTAAACAGATAGTTTCTTACTTTTTTGGACAAGATACAGGTTGGAGTGACATCAATGTGTCCCCATATCTCAGAAATTAAAGGTGCCAAATTTATTTTGTGAACACTCATGGTGTTATGGAACAATATTTTTGTAAATGGGTCCCCATTTTGTTTGTATATCGTGTTCAGGGCATGACATCAGCACCCGCCTATGTGCCAGATGCCGGTAGAATTTGGCAGTGGCATGTAACACAGTCACACTTACTATCCACTTTGGTGGGTTGCATATACTAGAGCAGAAATGATTTGTCTATTACTGTAAAACCAACAGTCCAGTGCACGTAGCTGCATGCAGAATAAGCTACACCCCATGCAGAATGATGCATGTAATGTGAAACCAAATTCACCAGCGCAAGTTCTTCCCGGAAACTTTAGCTGTCCACTGCTAGCAACATGTGCTAATGTTGGCACAACATGCAGATCAGCGGCAGGTGAGCATAAAGCTAATGTCAAGCCCTGCTCATGCTCTCCTCGAACACACAAAGGTAATTTACACCCCAAGTTTGCAGGTACATCAATAAAGATTCCTGCCTGTGGTTTCACAACGTTAAAATGTACGAATTAAAAATGTAGCAATGCACCAGCAAAGAAGGGGAAGAATGCTAATTGGCAAACATTGATGTGAGTGATGTACATCAAAAATATAATTGTAAAATTATTCAAAATATTTTATAGTCAAGGAAACACATTCAATGTGTTTTTTAAGAATACACACAGTGAGTGAGTGAATTCCAGAGTGTAAACCAAGCGGCAACCTTCGGGGCTGCAAAATGAAGCCAACACAGCAGTGCAATTCATCAAATGGCCACTTGAGGCTGACTCTAGAAGCCAGTCAGTCCCCATAAAATGCCCAGCTTTATCTCAGAAATAAACATGTTTACAGCTTGGTACAATAAACAGTTTCGTCTTTATAGCTAATTTCCCAATTTATGGCAACTGTATAGTGGATGAATATTTATACAACTCACCTCTTTCACTTGATTAAGGCTTAAAGTAACACATAATTAAGAATGCTTTACGTGACAGGCTGCCTGCGAGGTGTCACCACAGCATATGAGTCAGATCCAACCCTCACTCCTCCACAGCTCTACCCTCTCATACAAATGTGGTCACTAATGGTTCCAAACAACCAAGATAGCTACAGCCAATATGCCAAACTCAATCACAACAGTGGTAAAAAAAAAGCTCATGATTAAATATTTGTCTCAAAGTTTTCAGCCCTACCTACTCTGAATTTTCCTTAAGCAAAACTCACGTGAGCAACTTTGCCTACCATTTGAGCTAAATGATACAATTTCATTGCAATGAAATTTCTACCTGTAAGGCCCTCGTTCACATTCATGTAAATTGTGCAGAAACATGACACCTTTTGACAACAGAGTCTATTTCAAAGTCAACATCAAACAGTTCGAGGTTTTTAACTGTCCAAACAGTTGCAACAAGATGAATGCTAGCTGTCGGTGAGCCCAAGGTAGAAAAATGACAGTGAGCCCACAGTGTGGCAGGATGACAGATAGACTGAGCAGACAGAGAGATAGAGCTTTACAAAGGTTATTCATACTAGGATACACACAAAGGGCTTTAACACTGTTCTCTGCTGTGGGGTTATCTGTCATCTCTGTTTATGGGACAATAGGGAGTGCTTATTGTAGACTGGTGCTCTGCATGTGTGTGTGTGTGTGTGTGTGTGTGTGTGTGTGTGTGTGTGTGTGTGTGCAGGCGTGGTACTCACTGCCTCCTGGTCTCTCTGTGTCTCCAGGAAAGATGAAAACTCTACCAGTCGTAGTTTGGTGGTGCCAATGGAGCGACCCTGCCACGCTGGCTCTCTGTGTGTTTGGGCTGCAGTGGGAGGCTCGTAGCCTAGACAACACATACACGCACACACACACACACACACACACACACAAACACAGTCTGTTTAACCTCACATCACCACGTACAATCATGCTATTTAACGGGGTTAGCAGTAACGCTAACATTATTCTTTGCAACAAATGTGTAAAAATTATGCCATTACTGGAGTCTCATAGACAAAGCCTGGCTGAGGTGAGGGTGCAGCACTGAAAAGCAGTTAACAAAAGTAGATGTAAAGGGGTAACAGTGATACAGTGCCACAGTGAATTCTTTTGGGCACTCAACTCATACACTCCATTTACAAAAGCCCTTTTCCTCTTGTCAGTTAGTCTCATGCTTTTGGAACTGACAGCTGCCATCAGCCACTTTGAGCAAAAATGCACAACCCTGCAGGGACCTTGATGAGTTGATAAAATTCATTGTGAAATATCAACATTACAGGCCAGCCAAGGGAAAAGTTGCTTTCTTAAATTCTTGCGAAGTAGCGTTTGCTGACCCATACTGTAGTTTGTCACTTGGCCGGATCAACCCTGCTGATTGGAAAACTGTGTGGCCGTTGAACACTGATGTTTTTCTTTTTTCCACATAATGCTGGTTATCAACTGTTGACCATTTAAGCAGTCTGCCTCTTTACAACATGCAACATTTGAGAGAACTAAGCATACCGTTTCCAATCTGAAAGTGAAAGCTAAAATGTTAAACTAACAAGTTTTCATTCACAAAGTGAAAGCTAGTTAGCCTAGCCTGCTAACATGAGTAATATTCCCACTAAAAACAGCTGACAACTTCTACTGAGTCATCAGCAGCTCCTCCACACTCAGAGCTGTGTTTGTTAAACCATAGGAGGAGGGTCAGCCTCTCCCAAGGGTCCAGTTATGATGGCAAATGACCAAAACTCACAGTAACAAGTAGTCTTGTTACCCCAAAACTCCAAATCAGGGTTTAGAATAATGTATGCACAAGCACATACACATGCATGTGCTCATGAACGCACATACCCACACATTTAAATGTCAACAATTAGTAGTTTTATAACTGTATTCAACCCCTTCACTGATGATTGATCTACAGATAACCCCCCTTCTCTGGCAAGATATTTATCAGCAGAGGAGCTTCTGACCAAGACCTTATGGTCTCTCCCTTGGCACCATGAGAATGTGCAACAGAGAGCTATAGAATCAAAATATCTAACAACAGGCACCATCAATACTTTAATGACAGTGCAGTGTGTGGTAGTTTCCATCGTACTACCAGGATTCCTTTGCAGCAATTAGGCTGGAGAGCCACATTCTTTTTTCATGCACAGACACAGTGACCTGAGTGGTGTCAGTGAGCAGCAGTAATGATAGGAAACATTGAAATTCCTTATTAAGAATTTCTAATAATGATTTAATGACCTCAAACCAAAAGGACTGAAAAAGTGCCAACATTATGCATTATAGTAGCACAATTGTCAGGACTGAGGACTGAGACAAGGACAGAGACAAGGTCTTCTGTGTGTGTGTGTGTGTGTGTGTGTGTGTGTGTTTGAGAGAGAGAGAAAGAGTGACAGAGAGGGGAAGAGGAGGTGTAAGGTGCATGCAATATTTCTGTAAGTTATTAATCACTTACTTGGAACGCTGCTTTGTCATTTTCTGACCTACTTAATATGTCCAACCTACACATCACCGCTGTGTGGCATTATTTTCAACTTGTGTAATCTTAACATTTCCAATAACTCCATTGAGTTGTAAGGTCCAAAAGTCAAAATTTATTTAAAAAAAAGATAAATGTAATAATTTCATTTATTCATTTAGACTATTAAAAAAGACTAACTCATTTAATCTAATAAATCACTTTATTCAAACTGAGGGTTTTGTCTGAGATTTTTTTTTAAGGTTGTGATGTCATTAAATATGACAACACGCATTCAAAGCTTCATTCAAAAACCTCAATAGAAGCTTCAAATTTAAAAAAAAAAAAATGATGGTACAGCCCTATATGTAACAAAGCCTCTCCCAGTGCTCATTAACTGTCTGTGTGTCCAATGGAAGTGAAGTGGAATTATAAACAATTTTTGGTGGCCACCCACCAATTAAATGACAGCAAATTTCAGTACCAACATTGTCAGTTAAAACCAAGCAGCAGCCTCCAGGGTTAATAAATAAAGCCAATGTAGAAGTGCCAAAAACTACAATTCCTCTAATGGCCACTTGAGGTTGGCTCCAAAAGTGAGTCAATCCCCAGAGAGCCCCACAAATTAGTCCTACATTCTAGAAGTGAGTTAGCATTTATACACTGTCGGTTCCCTCATCTCAACCAAGGTCTGACTTTCATGTTTTGTCCTACAACATAAAATACATACGCCATTGGTGAATGTTGATGTTTTTATGTGTTTTAAAAAGGCAGTTGCTAACAAGTGGCTCAACGAGACTACAGACAGTCATCACATCAAATAAGGCTTTACAGCCTTGTCGTGTTGGCGACGTTAAGTCATGCGACCATGGTGTTGTTTGCTTATAACCTAACATTAGCTTTTTAAAATCACAAAATTGGTGTTCTTTTGTGAATATTATTTAGCTGAACAAGACTTAAGTATCATAAACTTTTGTTTGCCGAAGATCTCATTTTCTGCAATAATCCAAAATCCAATGGAATCCCATAGGCTATTTGACGAGGGAACCACGGCGACACTAACCTCCTCATCAGCCTACAGAAAAACAGCATCCCTGGAGCACTCCATAGACTTTCATGTTAAAATGCCCAACTTAAAAGCAGAAATAAACATGTTTACAGTGTGGTACAAAAACAGTTTTGGTCTCTACAGCTAATTGCCCTGGTATTGACAACTGTATGGAGGGTGAGAAAACAAAGTAAACCAAGGATATACAGTACAGGCCAAAAGTTTGGACACACCTCATTCAATGCGTTTTCTTTATTTTCATGACTATTTACATTGTAGATTCTCACTGAAGGCATCAAAACTATGAATGAACACATGTGGAGTTATGTACTTAACAAAAAAAAGGTGAAATAACTGAAAACATGTTTTATATTCTAGTTTCTTCAAAATAGCCACCCTTTGCTCTGATTACTGCTTTGCACACTCTTGGCATTCTCTCCATGAGCTTCAAGAGGTAGTCACCTGAAATGGTTTCCACTTCACAGGTGTGCCTTATCAGGGTTAATTAGTGGAATTTCTTGCTTTATCAATGGGGTTGGGACCATCAGTTGTGTTGTGCAGAAGTCAGGTTAATACACAGCCGACAGCCCTATTGGACAACTGTTAAAATTCATATTATGGCAAGAACCAATCAGCTAACTAAAGAAAAACGAGTGGCCATCATTACTTTAAGAAATGAAGGTCAGTCAGTCCGGAAAATTGCAAAAACTTTAAATGTGTCCCCAAGTGGAGTCGCAAAAACCATCAAGCGCTACAACGAAACTGGCACACATGAGGACCGACCCAGGAAAGGAAGACCAAGAGTCACCTCTGCTTCTGAGGATAAGTTCATCCGAGTCACCAGCCTCAGAAATCGCAAGTTAACAGCAGCTCAGATCAGAGACCAGATGAATGCCACACAGAGTTCTAGCAGCAGACCCATCTCTAGAACAACTGTTAAGAGGAGACTGCGCCAATCAGGCCTTCATGGTCAAATAGCTGCTAGGAAACCACTGCTAAGGAGAGGCAACAAGCAGAAGAGATTTGTTTGGGCCAAGAAACACAAGGAATGGACATTAGACCAGTGGAAATCTGTGCTTTGGTCTGATGAGTCCAAATTTGAGATCTTTGGTTCCAACCGCCGTGTCTTTGTGAGACGCAGAAAAGGTGAACGGATGGATTCCACATGCCTGGTTCCCACTGTGAAGCATGGAGGAGGAGGTGTGATGGTGTGGGGGTGTTTTGCTGGTGACACTGTTGGGGATTTATTCAAAATTGAAGGCACACTGAACCAGCATGGCTACCACAGCATCCTGCAGCGACATGCCATCCCATCCGGTTTGCGTTTAGTTGGACGATCATTTATTTTTCAACAGGACAATGACCCCAAACACACCTCCAGGCTGTGTAAGGGCTATTTGACCAAGAAGGAGAGTGATGGAGTGCTGCGGCAGATGACCTGGCCTCCACAGTCACCGGACCTGAACCCAATCGAGATGGTTTGGGGTGAGCTGGACCGCAGAGTGAAGGCAAAGGGGCCAACAAGTGCTAAACACCTCTGGGAACTCCTTCAAGACTGTTGGAAAACCATTTCAGGTGACTACCTCTTGAAGCTCATGGAGAGAATGCCAAGAGTGTGCAAAGCAGTAATCAGAGCAAAGGGTGGCTATTTTGAAGAAACTAGAATATAAAACATGTTTTCAGTTATTTCACCTTTTTTTGTTAAGTACATAACTCCACATGTGTTCATTCATAGTTTTGATGCCTTCAGTGAGAATCTACAATGTAAATAGTCATGAAAATAAAGAAAACGCATTGAATGAGAAGGTGTGTCCAAACTTTTGGCCTGTACTGTACATACTCATTTCTTAAAAAAAACGTATGCTAATTGTTAGTTCAACTTTTAAAGGTTTCAAAGCAGATACTATGAGAAGCAAAAAGACATTTTAAGTTATTTAATACAAGTTACGTAAGGAAAGCAAAATTGACACCTTCTCTCTTGCAACCTCGTCACAAGACAAACCTCCGGGCGCACTGGAGACCCAGGCACCCAGACAGTCAAAAACAACCCTGTAGAGAGGCTGTGGCCTCGATGGCAGGAGAGAGGACCACCTGTTCGTTTTAAAGAAAGGAGATAATTGTACCACGGTCTCTCACCTGAGATTGTGGTGGTCCCTGCTGTCTGCACAGAGTAGGCTTGCTGAGAGAACGGCTTGATACTGGGAGAAACAGAGACACAAAGACAGACAGAAAGACAGACAGGAGAGCATTAAAAAAGCTGAAAGAAGAAGCGACACAGTAGGGCCTGTCACATTGTACCTACATTATACAGACAGGAATTCTGTTCTGGGGCTTTTATGAACAGTAGCAGGAGTACAGAGGTCAAGAGTGTCTCTGAGTTCAGTAAAAGCTATACCAGCCCCATTTACTACCATTATCATCATCATCACATGGTCGTGTAACAGCAGCTGGCAATGAAAAGAAAAGGGTTTGAACTTGTAGCACCATGATCCCTGCTAGCCACTGGCAATGTGAACAGGCACTAATGTAAGATATAGAAACAGCAGGATAGCAGGGTTTGGAGCCTAAGTTCACCAAGTTTGAAACTGGGAACATGTATTCATATCGTCGACAAAATCAGTCAGTATTTGGCAGAATGAGGGACGACAGATTCCAGGATTCAATCATGTGAATAAGCAAAAATCACACCAACAGTTTTGTCTGATGGGGGAAGAAAGACAGTGACTTGACGAGGATCATTGTGTCCATATCCAAATATCAAAGCTTAACATCAGTAAGTAACTTAGATATGAGAGGTGAGTGTGACTTACTCTTCTGTGGTGGAGCTAGACTGTCCTCCAGGAATCATCCCCTGCCACAGCTGAAAATTAACATAGAAACACACATTGATGCACTGGACTGAGGGAGCAAACCACGAATGCAATACAATACGTGTGTGTTATTATGTGTGTACCAGGACTTCAAACTGAGCATATGTGGCCACTGGAAAACATAGCTTTATTTTTTATTCATGTCCTTGTGTTTCCTGTATCTATTTGAAGAGGATGGTGTGTGAGTATGACTTGAGGCCAATTTATAATTGTGCATAGTTTCTACACAGAGCCTTCACTGTAGCCTAAGCAAGGGCCTATGGCATTGTGTCTTCTATCTTGCCCTTGATAGGGTGCTGGGTGGCCCCCCCAAACATTTTCTACTTGTTGGAGTGCATAAAAAGGCATAATTATAGAGCTTGTTTATCAAAAAAAGTGTCAGGACAGGATCTCCCCGACCCCCCCAACAGAGGTCCAGTCAATGCCCCAAATGTCCCCAGTTCCTAGAAACGCCCCAGCGCTCACCTGACCTGTGTAGGGCTCCTGTGTCTGGCCCCTAGCCTCTTGTCATTTTGCAAAAGTGGCCTCCGGGCAAAGCAAGCTGAGTATCCCTGGCCCATGCGGTAAGAAATATAAATCCTGCTTTAGGCTACCTTTGGATACATATTTCAGACTAAAGACCAGTTAATTGAGGACAACTTGTCCAACTGGGGACAAAAGTCGTGTCTCCAATCATGAAAAGCTGATTTGGGGGTCAATGGTTGGGTTTAGGGCCAAGTTAACGTTGGGGTCAAGGTTAGGGAAGGCAAGTGGTGGTTAGGGTTAGGGTAATCTCCAGGAAATTAATGTAAGTCTATGTAATCCCCCAAATGTTACTTAGGAAAATGTGTGTGTGTGTGTGTGTGTGTGTGTGTGTATATGTGTGTGTTACCTGTGCGGTGCTGGGGAAGCTGGCCCGTACTATTCCAGGCAGGAGCTTGCTGTGTATGGCGGTAGCTGAGACAATCTGAGCCGAGGACATGGTGGAGATGCTCTGCAGAGCCTTCTCCTTGGCATTCTGGTCCTACACGACAATAAAACACACATTATCATCTCCATCATCATCATCATCGTAATGAACACACTTTACATTCTGGTCCTACACAATCTAAACCCAAAGTGACAGCAACCATCAGGGCACTATACTCAGTTATGAAAAGCAGAAAATTCCCAAAATTAACAAGAATAATTTGAATTAACTTGGACAATAAAATCCTAGAGAAAACCGAAGGCCTGAGGGGAAAAATCATAATAGATGTCATTCTCCACTAAGTTGTCATTATCTGACTAGTTGTGATCAGTTTGCCGCCTCCTGCTACTTTCTGATTACAAAAATTAACATACCGCAATTTGAGTAAACTGCCCAATATGGAGCAGCTCATTTGCCAACAGCACAACATGTGCACTTAGACTCTAGACACTTTGTTTGTATATTTTAATAGGACTTAAGAGCTAAAACTTGCTTTACAGTCAATAAAACACTGATTTAAAAAGCTGGAGGATTTTTTAAATAAATGCCGTGTGAGGCGTTTAAAGGAATTAAACACAAAACAAAACTATTTACAACAGTTTCAATGCTTTTGACAATGATCTTGACAATCAAAGCCCCTCAGGCAGAGCTGGGGTAAGGTCCTGTCATTCATCTGTTATCATCTACTATATGATCTTTAAGACACCAGGAGGTCCCTGCTGAAAGTAGCGAATCTGGCTCACATGGAATTAAAGGGTTTGACCTTGTTTTGCCTTTGCCTGTCTGCACAATCCAACACTAATAAGAGTCTGATCATGTGTGTTCATATCTGAATCCCCTGTTTTGCCTTAAACTGTCTCTCAGTGATAAGGCAGAGGATTTAGGGAATATACCTTTCTCTACGCATGTGTAGTTTGGGTGTGGTGGTTTGACTTGTGGCCCAGGAGGAAATCATAGCAACAACAGTGGAGGGCGCCGAGCACAAAGCGTGGAGCGTGCGTGCAGTTACATGTGTTTCACACTGGTTGCTGCCTCAGGGCAAAAAGCTCCGTACAGAAGACTTACAGTAAGTCTGAACTTTAGGGCTCATTTGTAACATCTGATCTCAAAGCAACATGAACCTCAGAGCAGAAAACAGCTGAATGAAATGGAATTAGAAACGCTGCAATAGCTGGAGAATCACTAATTGGCAGCTTCACTCAAGTTAATTGGCACTGAGAGAAATCTCTCCTCCTAGGGGAGGTAATAACATTATAGGAGGTACTGAGATGGGAATCATGCTGGATTTTCATATTAAATACCAGGAACCATATGGGTCTGATAACATCCTTGACCTGAACTCATTTCTTTGAAACGACCAACCCATGTGTTGTGGTTTAAATGGAAAATCCAGCAGCTCGTTCAAATGAACACAGACTTTACAGCATTTCTGAACATATACAGTGCTAAGGGAATCACTAAATAATCAGTATTCTTTGTTTCTGACCATCTATTAACAGTATAGGTCATTTACTAAAACTTCAGGCTGGTGTTAGTCTATATTTCCCTTATTGCCAACAAAGCCCATGAAATGACTAAAGGCAAAAATGTCTCTCAGCTTTTCAGCTTCCCCACAGCCCCAAGCCTATTTGTTCCTACAGAAGATGTAAATTTTTATTTTTAAAAAAATCCAGTTTCTAAAAAGTCTCTATCTTCTAAAACAGCTGGTTACTGTAGCTTTTATCAAACACTATTTAAACAGGAGCAAATAGTGCATTTGTTGGGGACTATTTTCAGACGTGGATGAATACACATTTGGTGCTCCAGTCACTGTTTTGGGCAGCAGGATGGTGTTTGTGTAATTAAGTAAAAACAAACTACATAAATAGAAAAAGAATACATGTATCATTGCTTTTTGTCTTTTCATAGGATTCACTGAAAATGTGAAACATACAGAATATCACCAGACTTATCTTTTAATCAAATATGCCACATATATCCTGGTTTCAGACTCTCAAACCGCTCTTGAGATGCTTTTCCATGTATTATATCATCAGAAATGGAATATCTTGTAAGCCTGCATGTAAGCATGGGCTGTGGGAACCTGAACTTGATTATGAAAACAGTCGTATTAATTAATTAAAAAAATGTAATGAGCTGTAGGTATATTGTTATCTTTAATAAAAAGCTTTAACAAAAAGTGATTTATATGGTCTTTACAGGAGTCAACAGTAGGTGCCTGGGAGCATATCACTCTGTGGCGGGGTTAAGTTAAGGTTGTGATCCCTATTTTATATGAAGTTTCTAATTTGTCAGTTATACAATAATAAAAGCTACGTCGTGCAACACTGCACTCCTGCCAATGTAGCCATTTCCAAATATTTCGGTTTCATATTGATGTCATGATATGAGACTAGATACTGTCTTAGATTTTTGACATCATAATATTCTAAGTGTTGTCTTTTCCTGATTTCAAAGGCTGCATAACAGTAAAGTGATGTTTTTTTCTGAACTTACTAGACTGTTCTAGCTGTTCAATCATTTTCCATTACCCACCTAGCCATTATAACTACATCACTGATAACTATTTATCAAAAATTTAATGGTGTAAATATTTTGTGAAAGCACTAATAGCCACCTTACAATACTGTCACAATACTGACACCGAGGTATTTGGTAAGAAATGTCGTATTTGTTTTTTTTCCCCAATATTGCCCAGCACTATTCCAAAATATAAAAGAAAACATACACTGTATCATCAATAACACATTAATGTGTTAGCTCTAAAATGATTCAAGTGACCTTTACTACCAATTTTAACCAACCATCTGTCATTTATTTTATGACAGCAAACATCAACTCCGTCCTCGCTTTGTTTCTATTCGGAGTTGCGACTGCTCTACCCAGAAAACGAGTGCCCCTTTGTTGCTCTACATGAAGTTAATTACAGCCAACAGTGAGGAAGAAAAAGAAAGAGGGAAAGAGGGAGGAGGAGACACGGAGGGTAAGAGATTAATAGACTGAAAGGAGGGTGGAGAGAGTGTAAGAAGAGGGAGGGAAGAGGAGAGGAACAGATCAATGAATGTATGGATATAAGAGAATGACAGGAAGAGGAGGAGGAGGAGGAGGAGGAGGAGGAGACAACCAGAACAGGCCTAATTAGATACCTAGGATACTGGAGTCACTGTGACAGCCATCCGTCCGTCCAGCCACAGCGAAAAGTCAACAAGCAGGGGACAAACTCTGAATTCAAATTGCTTTGGTGTATTATGTGGTGTGGTAGAGATCGCAGAAGTACTTCCACTGCCTCTACACGCTTTAGGACGGCTCATTTTTCTTAACTTTTTGAGGTGTATGTCTGAAATTTAAGCAGTAATGTACTAGATTTCCATGGTGCTAATTATGCAGTATTTTTGCACTGCATTTTTCACAGATCACCTTTTTATCAATGCATTAAATAATGTGACGGTTTCTGTTCAAGCACATGAAGTTTCTTTAGATGGCACTTTTTTCCATCTTTTACCATTGTGGTCATCAGTGTTAATCCTCACTAATCAGTTGCATTTATTCCAAACACAGTTCAATAAAGAAATAAAGGGAACAAGAAACACATCACTTCCTGTGCTACGGAGGATTTTTACATTTGAGAACCACCAAACCCTGAGTACCCCCCCCCCCCCCCCCCCTTACTTTTAGTTTGGACTGAAACTCCCTGGATTTTCTCCTGGCTAAAACCTGGATATGACTGGATACCTGCGGAGAGGAGAGGAGAGGAGAGGAGAGGAGAGGAGAGGAGAGGAGAGGAGAGGAGAAGGTAAAAGGAAGGGGGGGGTTGGAGGGTAGAAAAGAGAGGAGGAAGGACCAAACAGTGAGTTGCCATGGTTATGAAAGGACTATTGCCACACTGGAAGGGTACACACACACACACACACACACACACTACTCCCCTGACAACAGTGAATAGACCCATCTATGCACATCTTTTGAGAGAGCAAAAAGACACCTGGGAACACAGGCCAACAACTAAGATATTAAGATTACACTACATTCAGATGGAGCTCCGTTATGTTCTAGAAACCTAAACAAATGTATTTCAGAGTAAACTTTACTCTTTTAATGAAACATGCTATTTAAAAAAAGCCCCAAAGCCCTCTTAGAGAATATTTCTTAATGACTCCTGCTTTACATTCGATACATACCACCATATGAGCCTGCATGGCGAGGGGATCAGACCAACGTGCATGTTTTGATTAAGAGAGAAACCATCAGTTATGATAACATATTTTGTGTGCTCCCGTGCTGATAGAACTTCATGGGAGCTGTAGTGTTTTTGGCCACTAATAATGTCATCATAAGTCATTATCATTGTTAAAGTCCTAAAAACCTAAAAATATCTTAGAAAATAGATGTATATCCAGTTGTGGAAAGTACACTTACTTAAATACTGTGTTTTTAGGTACTTCTACTTGATTATTTACATTTTCTGTTACTTTATATTTCTTACTCCAAATAATACAAACATCTACAAATAAATAATGATGTCCTGTTATAAGTACAGTGAAGACATAATAAACCCCTGATAATGCCAGAAGAACAATATTAATGGATCAGATCATTTCCCCTGGTGGAAATTTACAAGCTACCCAGCATTGTATATTATACATATATATATATATATATATATTACAATAATCTCCAGCTTTACCCGTTATAATATTAAAGTGATGTACAGATCAATGCATCAATCTCACAATCTCAACTTCAAATTCTCTAATGTCAGTTTCAACAGCTTTGCTAGCCACAAATAATATCTTCACTTGTGGGAAACACTAATGGCTAGGTGGGACAGCTGACAGACTGCAGACCACCTTCAAGACCAATAAACAACAAAAACAGTTATTTTAGTGACCTGATGCTCTGTCTCCAGCAGTATTTCAGCCACAGCATGTGGGTGTTTCTTAGGGACCCGTCCATGTGTTTCCAGCCTGGATAGTGCCACGAAAAGCAGCCAATACCATACCAATACCCCCTTTTCACCAAAATAAGTGGGTGTATACAGGTTTCTTTAACACAGGAAAACCTGCTTAAAATAGACAATAGACTCCGCTCCCATAGCCAGTAGACCAGAGCCATTTACAGGGCTCTGCAGAAGACAAGTGCCCCTCTCTGTTTTTTTTTATTGTCCTGGTTCAATGCCACGGATGGGCCGGAAAACAGGTCAGTCACCAGTAAAGCAGCATGAAGGTCAGTGATAATGTGACTGTGGTTGCTTCTTTTTTATGTCTGTTACTTATTCAGTCTCTCAAACTTGGAGTCAACCAAATTTTGAACAATGTTTGAGCACTAAAATTTTAGCTAAAATTTGCCTGTCCACTCAGCTGTCATATTTCCTTCACTATTGATCGGAGCTGGAGCCGATGAATACCCGTAACTACTGCAGTCATTTGACCTGGGAGTGAATGTCCATTGTAACCTTTCAAATTCAATAAAAAAACAGATGTGAGTGAGTGTTAGTGGGTCATTGTGCAGTGGGGAAGGGGCTCAAGACATTGCAGCATTTCCTGCTGGGATTTTGCCATCAAAAGCAGGTATTTTAAGCCAAAACATGAATTTTTCTGCACCAGTACCAAGTGGTTTTTGTGGCTTAATCTAACCAAACATTGGAAACAGCGTTGAATGAATGAAAAATTAAAATTAAAATTAAATGAATTTCCAACATAATGCATACAAATGTAACATATCCATGGTTTGCAGAAATGTACAATGTCAACAATAATTCTTGCAGGTGGGTTGGTTCATTAAATAAGACCACCTCTCCTCACTTTCCCCTAATTCCAAAAATGGACACATAAAATCCTGCAAAGTGGAACTTTAAACTGCTTGTATTCTTTTCCCAACCTAAACCATTAATGATTACTCTTCAGCTTTTAGATTGTTCTTTTCATCGCTGCATTTAGCACCATTTCTCTCATTATGTCTGTATAATATGATATGCTGTGATACATACTGTAGACAGCATGATTGGATTTAGTGCACACTCTCATTATTACCTGTTTCCTTGTCCGCGTCTTGCCTGTTCGGAGCTTGATGTATCTGGCTATCAGCTCATTTCGACCTGGAGGGAAAAGACACAGAACATACTGTGAAACACTGACACACACACACACACACACACACACACACACACACACACACACACACACACGCTAAACCCTATTTGAACTATCTTTTTTTTCTCACAGACAATCACAAGCAGAAATCATATGACCCTGACAAACAACTTAGTGCCTGATTTAGCACTGTTGACCCAGCGACCCTGTGACGTGCAGTTTCACATAGTCGCACTGTAATCACTGGTACCCCTGTTGAGCCCTCCACACAAATACACACACACACTCACTGACACACACAAAATCACACACGCCACCACCCTGAATACACATGACCCAACAATACAGGTATTCATGCAGACCGGCCGTCCCCTGATTAAAGGAACCAGCAGGCCAGCTGTACCCATGCTTACGTGTGCGCACATACACGCACACACGTAGACACACACACACAATTCAACCCATTGAATAGGGCGCACAGCAGACTCAGCATGACCTGGCTAGTATAGATTAGTGAGGGAGAGGGAGACAGAGGGAGAAAGGGAGCAGAAAACAACAGTGTTACATACAGAAAACCTGTGTGTTCATATGTAATACATAGTAGCTGAGTGTTGCACTACAGTGGCCTCCAAAGTCTGACCAGGACACAACTTTGGAGTCCCCAAAATTCAAAGATGACAGTTCGCTTTAAATTTTTTATGAAATTATGTAATTTGTCTGTTATTTAATTTGCTAACAAGCATGGTTTGGTTCGTCTCCTGGTGTGTTTTCTGTTCCGACCAAGTGGAAAACCAAAGTCAGGCCAGCTGGCCAACTGATGGTCAAGATCAGCACAAAGCCAAACCTCTCTACACACTACCCAAATGGCTCGCAACAATAGCCCTAACTAACTAGCAGATGGTGTGTGTGCACGTCTATTTGTGCATATGTGTGTGCATGTGTGTGAGTGTGTGTGTGTGTGTGTGTTCTGACCAATCCCATTCTCACTGAGATAGGGAGCTTAGACTGATAACATCTACAGCTCCCCATGCAGGTGTTTTCCTTCTAGCAGTCAAAAGCTGCGACTGACCACAGCACACACGCAAAAACACACACACACACACACACACACACACACGTATATACATGCATGAGTGCCAACACACACACACACATACACACACACACGCACACACAAAGAGTCCTGGCTGCTGAGGCTGACATCTGACTCCAGAGGGGCCAGCTGGTCTTTCTAGGAGGCTTAACGGTGAATTATCATCCTTCACTAACCCTGCGGCACACATCCCTCACCCTCCCTCCTTCTCAAAAACTCTCCAGCACACACACACACACACACAAACACACCACACACCACACACCACACACACACACACACACACACCATCCATCCATCCATCCTCTGTTCTGGCTGCTCCCTTTCTCCCCTCCTCTGTCCCTCTTGTAGTGAATGGGCTTCCCTTCTGCTCCCTCCCTCTTCCTCTCTCTGCTTCTCTCTCTCCCTCTCTCTACTTGCCCAGTGAAAGACTTCAAGGCCAAAGTCAGATGGTCATTAACCGTGACGAACAGAAGCACCCCCCCTCTCCCTATCTCCAGGCTGAAGCCACTCTGTGTGCAAGCAGATATTGAGGGAAAGGACGCAAATGAAAAACACTTTTTAGTTGTGTGATTTTTAACCCCATTCACTTAAGATTAAAAAACAACAATAAGAAAGACAAGAAGCAGACTTGTCACAATATGATAGAATCAAACAGTGACTCTATCTTCAGTAAAGTGAACATGAAGGCAAGATGAGGTGAAGAGAGGAGGGAAATTCCAAATTTCAGATACAGTGACTGAAATGCAATACTTTAGACACACATGTAAACACCACACTAAAAACGAAATGTTGACTGATTTGTCACATGGTGCTGAAAGAGCACACAAATACCTGTGACAATGAGTACATAATGATCAATCAAACTCCCAGCTTCCAGTACATTTACCGGACTTGTAAATATATTCGTCTCTGGTCTTCCAAAGAAGCATTACTGTATTAGTTTACTGTCGCTCCCCACGCTCAGTTAGCAGAGTGATTAAGAGCTTCAGCTGCTTTACAGAATAGCTGGAAAAACCCTTTCAGAGTTAGTTCAAAGCCTTGTTGACCGCGCTCGCTAACAAGGCCACAGTGGAGTAGTGTGTATTGTTGTGTACCCTGGGAAGACCTCAGAGACCACATGGGCCCGAGTCTGGCCCACAGCCTGGCTTCACTAACCCTGAGGAGGAGTGTGTGCTTGTTGCGACATACATGGGACAGTTTAAGTGTTTGGTACAGTGGTGCACCTCCCACAGACCAAACATACAGCATCCAGCAATGAGATGGCTTTTGTGGATTAGTTTGCTTCTCACCAGGTGGCACTGTTTTATTGTCTTTTTCAGGTACAATGGCACAAACCATCACCGCTCCTGCTAACCACACAGTTAATCTTTCATCTCTCGCAAACAAGCTGCCAGTTTGTTTAAACAGTAACTAAACCCTGGAGAGGTTTGCTGCCAGATGATGTCACCTGCAGAGAGCAACAGGTGGTGACATCACCTGATGCTAAAGATCCGCCAACAGCAGTTTGTAGTTACAGTGACTGCATATGTGAGTTATTTCAAAGGAATTTGAAGGAGGAAAAGCTCTTGCGGGTTCAGTTTTGATGCCTCGTTATATTCTGGTCTGATGAAGAAAGAGATTCTGTTTAAAAGTGTGCCTATCAGTGATACGATTTGTTTTTAATATGTCAGTGTTTTGATGTCGTCGTGATTTTGGTTCACATTTGGTTGTTTTTGTATATGTTGGTCATTTTTGTGTGATGTAATGTGAGAGGATTCATTTGAAGTGACCAACCCACAGAGAATTATCATCCATGCCTACAGAGCAATTTAGCAATTTGGTATATTTTGCCTGTATACACATTCAGGAGACCCAAAGCTAAATTAGCATGATATCTCTACTGTTCTGGCTCAGTCTCATCTGATTTTATCAACCCTGTTTCCAGTCACAAGTCTCACGTTTCTGCACTTGAGTCGTGCCAATACCATTTTCCAAAATGCCTCCAATACTGCCTAAAATACTGGATGGGGCATCGACAAATACGCAAGTCTATGTACCAATCTGATACCATGTATTGGTAGCTTTCAAGTGGTTTCACACCTGAATAAAATGCCAGTTTTCCATTTTCAAGTCAATTCTTCTTTCCCGCTCTAAAAAAGTAGCCTACACTAAGCAGTCAAGAGGAACTGATTTCCGGTAAACAGTGTAAGGATAACCATTAGCAAAATGCTAGGAGTTTTGTGATATTTCACACTGGAGAGTCCCATTTAGCTTTGAACCTGAATCATGCCATACAATGACAGCAATCATTAAACACCCACAGGGTAAGCAGTTTACAACTGTTAATTTTTTTTAAATGCAATTGTATTGGTACTTAGTATCAGCCAATTTCAAGTATCGGAATCAGTATCAGGAAGGAAAAATTGCATCAGAAAACATCTACCCTACACTCAAGCCCCAAGTCCTAAACTTTGAGTTTTGAGTCCTTAACAAGTCACAATGCTCTCTTCGCCTAATGTAATGCCATTTTTACAAAAGTGTATATCACATTTACAATACTTTCTGTATTTCTACTTATTTGTTGAAACAATTTTGTTGGAAGCTGTTGTGACTCCATTTGTAATTTTTCACACACATTTGGCATACTGCAATATGGTTTTTGTTGACCAACATAGAGTTTTTGTACCCGAACAATATTATCTTTTGTGTCTTTTTGTATCTTTTATGTTTTCATTATTTTTTCCGACTGGCACTCAGTAACATAACATTAGTTCTTCATGGTTCAGTCCTGCAATTTGATCTGATGCTGTTGGACTGATTTTTAAATAATGTACTTTTTAATCTTTGGGCTTGGGGGAAGGTATCAAGTATTTTCAAGTCGAAAAGCTCAGTCCAAGTGAAGTCACCAGTCATTGGTGTTTAAGTCCAAGTTGAGTTGTAAGTCTTCTTTGACTTTGTCAAGTCAAGTCTTAAGTTATCAAATTTTTTTTTACACCACTCTAACTCAAGTCCAAGTCATGTGACTGGAGTCCACACCTCTGGCTGTTTCTAGCAGCAGCAGACATCTGTTTTGACAGACAATGGTAGTGACTGGCTGGTGAACACAGCGGAGCACTGAGCAGCTGAAGGGGCAGATATTACCCTTTGGTGTTTGTGGAGCCCAAAACAGAGCTGACAGGAGAGTGAATATTAGACTTAATACGAGTTAAAACAACTTGCCAAAACACTCAAATGAATGCTAATGTTTCTGGGTATGTAGTGTATCTAGGCAACAGTTTCACCTCTCTGACCTGATGAAGGCTGTGAGGCAACACCTCCAGTCAGAGGAAAATAAATTAAATGTTCACTGAAAGGGAATATAGGCATGTTTTATACAATGTGACAATATTGAATAAAATACTTTCATAAGGCTGTAGTGAAGATGTTTGGAAGATGTCTGTGGCCTGTGTCACTGCTGCAGCCTACACTTCCCCCATTACCATTCACAGCATGCTGCAGCCCTCTGTAATACGTCTGTTTTGAACATGTCCCTGATCCACAGCTTAAGAGACAGACAAGGTTCAATACCAATTAAATGACTTTCATATCCATCCAGTAGATCCATACGATGTTTCTGTAGGGGACAAAGCCACTACCCATTACATTGTATCTCTGCTGTACCTTTGCCAAGGATAATAGCACTATTATTCACCTTTTTTATTCTTTCTCCCTTTTATACACATCCATTTATGATTTTTTTACACTTCTCTCCCACCAAGTTCGTCCCAGCACTTTTGCACATTTTCCTTCTTCTTTTCTATTTCAGTCCATTTCCCTGCAGCCACTTGGGGGGTATTCTTAGACCCACATAGGTCCCCTCTCCATCACATGTTACCTCTTTCTTTTCTGTAGGAAAACTCACCTGCCACACATTTTACTGTTAATGTAATG